TCCGCCATACACTCCCTGCCATAATGGGCTGAGATCTGTGAAATCATGAGCAAAAGAAATTCTTCCTCCGTTTTGTTGTTTCTGCCAGATATTTGGGGCAAGGAAAGTCTGTGTGCTGCTGCTGTGGTGTCTTTGGCCCAAACTCCAGTGATCCAAGTTAAGTTCAAAGTAGGAGAGCATGTTGCAAACAGTGATATATGAGGTAATTTTCTAGTGTTAAACCAAACACTGTACTTACATAAGTACAGTACTGTGCTATTTAGTAACTTCTTAGGGGGATGTTCTAGGAATTCCAATCACAGTCGAACTGTTGAAGGGTAAACACAAAACCTTGTAAGTAGTCAAATAACTCTGATGTATCTTGTATGCCAAGTATGTCCATGGATGTTTCATGTCAACTTGACACAAGCTAGAGTCATCGAGAGGGTCTATGGGCAAGCCTACAGGACATTTTCTTAGTTAGTCATTGATGGGAAGAGCTCAGCCTGTCCCTAAGCTGGTGGTCCTGGGTTGTATAAGAAAGCTGTCTGAACAAATCATGAGTTGCAAGCCAGTGAGCAGCGCCCTCCATGGCTTCTGCATCAGCTCCTGCCCCAGGTTCCTGCCCTGTTTGAGTTCCTGCCTTGGCTTTCCTTAGTGGTGTGTGGTTCCGGATGTGTAAGCTAAACAGATCCCTTTCCCCCTTTGGTTTGGTCATGGGGCGTCATCACAGCAATAGTAACCCTAAGACAGTGCTAACGGATGGTTTCTCAGGACAGAGACATGCATGTTTTACTTTTTGAGAAAAAAAAGTTTGTTGACCATTGACATCCAGGGGCTTGCTGGGTAGTGGTACCTTACATCTTTAATTCTAGCAACTGGGAGGCAGAGGAGGTGGATCTCTGAGTTCAAGGCCAGCTTGATCTACAGAACAAGTTCCAGGACAGCCAGGACTGTCACACAGAGAAACGCTGATAAACATCTGAAACAACTGAGAATTATCTGAGGTTTCTGTGGATGACTATATTTTTGTTTCTGGCCATAATTCTGGATATGGAAGTCCTTCAATATGTCTTCTAACTCTAATGCTGGGTGAATAAGCCTTGGGTAATTGAATGTATATTTCATTGTAATTGTCAAATAAATAACCAATGAATATTGATTATTGTGGATTTGAAGAATGTTATCAATGTAAAACAGGCAGTGATTGTACATATCTTTCCTTTGATATGTCCAGATGTCACTGTTTCTGTTGATTTCTTCTTCTTTTTTCTTTTTGGGTATTGGGGATGGGCCTGGGTCTCATACATGCTAGGCAAGCACTCTACTCATGAACTTCATCTCTAGACCACTTTTTACATTTTTCATTTTGAGGTAGGGTCTCACTGTGTAGCCCAGGCTGACCTGATTCTTTTGACGTAGCCTCCTGAGTAGCTGGAGCACTGATCCTGGCTGATTCTGATGGTTTCAGGGTCACATTATTATCATTTTGGAGTATGACACACTCTCGTTATTGGCCCATGTTTTATTACAATGTATTATAGTAAGCAATTATGAAAACACTATTCCAAAGAAAAACTGAAATTTTGACAGCAACACATCTATTTTGTCTCATGTCATCTGAGGTAAGCATCTGAAATCTAAACTATCATTCTATCTTTTCTTTAGATAAGACAGTTTAATTTTATCTATAGTATTTTTTTTAGTAGCCCACCTAGGCTGACCTTGAACCTGCTACATAGTTAAGGATATTAAGGATAATCTTAAACTCCAATTCTCTTGTCTCTGTCTCTTAACCCCTGCAATTATGCCCTAGTGTGTATACTTTTTTTAAAACTAACAAATACTGTATGTATTCTTTTTGGAATTTAATACTCTCACTTCTTGTTGCAATTTTGGTAGAATTTTTCAAAGGTCTTAATGCTTTCTATTTTTTTCCTGTTTGGTGGTGAGTGATGGTTTCATTTTTTGGCTAAGGGTGGTTCTGAACTATTGCAATCCTTCCTTACTCTCCAGAGTGCTGGGATTACAGGTGTGAGCCACCATGCCCTGCTTCTACTCGTCCTTATAGAGATGTATGCTTGCCCGACATTGGCTTACAGTCAAGTGGTGGACCTGGGATCCATATGAGACTTAAGAGCACTTCCTGGACAGGACCAAGGGGAGGACAGAGAGCTGGGACCGCAGTTCTGACCCAGTGGGTTGTGTGGAGTGGGAAAGCTGCCGTTGCTGCCTTCCTAACTGAGCCTTCATTTTGTAGGTGGATGCCACACCCAACACTGATCACTGGGTGTTATTGTGGTGACACTCAGTTGAGGGAGGCACGGAGGCCACGAGAGTTCCTCGTTAGCCAGACCTTTCACCCTTTTCCTGGTTAGAATACTCTTCAAGGGTTAGGAATAGTAAGGCTAGCTCACTAACTAGAACACTCTGTCACATAAATCTAAACCAGTTCTAATGTTTTGTTTTTCATGTAGCCCAGGCTAATCTCAAATTCCCTACACAGTTAAGGATTACTCTGACACCCCATCCTCTTTCTTCTTTATTTCCTGAGTGCTGTGATGGGGGGGTGGAGGGGGCGGAGCTTATGCAACAACAGGGACTAAACTCAGGGTCTAAAGTGTGATAGGCTGGCCCTCTACCAACTGAGCTATGTCTCCAGCTCCTAACCTGCTTCTTGATTTACATCGTTCGTTTCTTTAAAAAAAAAGTTTCGCAGTGTTGGGATTTGACCCAGGGCCTAGTGCATACAAGGTAAGTGGCCTGTCACTGAGTCACACAGCTTAAGCATGTGGTTTCACTTCACTCACACCTCTCCCACACTGCAGAAAAATCTTATCTCTGGGCGGGTTTGTGGCCCATGCCTATAACCACAATTCAAGGTCACTCTCAGCTCCATAGTGAATGTTAGGCTAGCCTGGGCTACATGTCTTCAGTCTCCCCGTCCCCTGAGAAAAGAACACCCTTGTTTTAATCCTGAGCTTTGAATTCTAACCGTTCCAGTTTTCAATTTCATACTTTCTCCTAAACTCTAACATCCGTGACTGTCCTTGACTCCCCCATTTCTATCAAGTATTATGGGTTGCTGTTTAGTTAGCATCTCAGCACAAAACAGACGTGCTCCGTATGTATCATGCTACCTGTTTGCTACTCTATGAAGCAGTAACATCCGTGTTCCTGTGTTACAATCGAGAAAACTGACACATAATAAATGCGGCCAAGGTCCGTATCAAGTGAAGTTAAAATCTGAGTCAGTTGTTTCAGACAGGGTCTTGCTATGTGTCCCAGTCAGGCAACTCTCCTGCCTCAGCCTCCCAAGTGCTAGCATTAGAGGAATGTACTACCACAGTTAGCTCTGAGCCTGGTTAGTTTTCAAAGTTTTAAGTAACGATGCTTTTGGTTCTGAGTAAAAGAAAGTGGCCTTAGCGATGATGGGTAGAGAGACTGTCAGTGAAGCTGCTCGATGTCACTATCAGAGACCTGGCCTCTCTGCTCCCCTTGGCCGTCTGTCCCTATTGGCCGTCTGTCCCCAGTCTCTCGTGAGCTTTCCCAAGGCTTCAGGACGCCCACTGAAGCTTTTAGAGGCAGGAAGCAACCTCACCTCCTCCCGTGCATGCGTGTGTGCGTGTGTGTGTGCATGCGTGTGTGTGTGCGCGTGTGCGTGTGTGTGTGTGTGTGCGCGCGCGTGCATGCGTGTGAGTGTGTGCATGCGTGCGTCTCTTTACTCTCCCCTAGCACTCTTCCCGGCTGCAGCCGAGTCTTTCCATCTTCTCTAGAGGGCCAGGAGCCCATACTTAGAATCTAGACCATTTTTTTAAAAGCAAAATTGACTTGCGCTGGTCTTATCCTTATCCTCACTCAAATGAGGCTTCTCCCCCACATCCCAGGTTACCGTTCACTGACCTTCCTCATGTTGGGAGCTGAGGCACCCTTATCTGATGGAAGTCAGCCTTTTTTTCTTTCATTTTCTTTCCTTTTTTTTTCTCCAAGACAGGGTTTCTCTATATAAGCTCTGGATGTCTTGGAACTCCCTTTGTAGACCAGGCTGGTCTCAAACTCACAGAGATCCGCCTGCCTCTGACTCTTTGGTGCTAGGATTAAAGGCGTGCGCCTAGCAGTCACTCCCTTCAGTAACCTCATCGAGTTCACTGACCCTCAGAGCCTCAATAAGCTCAGGTATTTTAACCTTCACACTGTAGTCTGGAGAATTTGAGACCCAAGGAAGTAAGGTGCCTGCTCCAAGAGGCTGAGGCCTTCAGGATAGGGGTCAAGCCGGCTTGACTCATGTGCCAATTCTTGCCCCAGCTCTACAATTCTGGCTTGCACTCTGCTGAATTTAGAGAGATCTGTGTCCTGGGACATACACTGAACAGTACAGGATTTGTCTACTATTTGCACGGTCTGGGATTTCCAGTCCTGCACTAGAAAAATAACACTGGATACATGAACGTGGGCGTCAGAGAGGACAGTGTGAACAGTGCCATCTGCAGTTGTGAATGAGGACAGTGGCTCAGTCTTCCCGAAGGCCTGTGGGACCCTCCATTAGTACACTCTGCCATTCTTGGGTGCTGAGCTGAGCATGGCGTATTGACGAATAGATGATTCAGGTTATAGCAGCTATCCACTAAATAATTCTTTATTAGTGCAAATCATTTTAATATCCTGCCTAGAAGCTCTAGGACCTCCCCCACCCTCATGTTCTCCCCTTTGGATGACTAAGTTCTCCTTGAAGCCCCTTTCTGCAGAAACCCCAGCTCTTTCCCAAGCCTCACAGGGCACCACCGCCACCTCTCTTTAGCCAGGAAGTCTTTGTTCTTCTCCACCCTCAGTCCCGCCCCCTTCCTCTGGCTCCAAAGCCCTGGACACAGTACACACAGCCCAGAGTCTCTACTGGAAGGGAACTGTTTGGGTTCCCATGGCTGCGGTCAGCACCTTCATCCCAGGGCTCAACCCTCAGAATCCTCATTATATTCCGGGGTAAGACTTCTTCCTACAGTGCTCACTCTCCTGCTGGCTTTGGGGAACAGGGGTTTGGAGATAGAGGCGTTAGCTCACTCAGACACTGGGTCAAGTTGACGTCTTGGTTTGAGAACGGGGTGCTGTGGTTTATGGAAACGGGAGATGAGAGAACAGAAGCTGGGTCTAACAAAGCTCTGTGTTGCCTTCTCCGTGGAAACCGTGAAAGCTGAGCAGAGGAATTGGAAACCCAGGCAGAGGGCTTAGGAACGCTTGCTGGGGGCTGGGGAAGTCGTACGTAGCTTCTGGGGTTCAATGCTGACTTAGCATGCACAAGGCTCCAGGCTCACTCTGATAGGTAAAACAAAGAAATGAGCAAAAATGACTTACAGACTAAAGCTGGGGGTGGGGGTGCCCGACCCCAGCATGGATGGGGTGGGGCGCAGAAGGATCAAAGGTTTGGTCAGCCTAGGCTACAGAAACACACACAGAGGAAATTAACACTTGCTCAAGTACACACCAAGAGCAGGGCTTTGCTGCCTCTGTATCAGGATGGCGGTGGTAGTGGGGGTCAGTCTTGGAGCTAAGGGGTGGGTCCTGTGCTTCAGGTACACTGGACACTGCCCACTACTGCAGTTCAGCATGGGCCAGACCTACGGGCAGGTGACCCGTCAGCTACTTCGAGGCCCTCCCGGCCTAGCCTGGCCTCCTGCCCACCGCACACTTCTGCCTCCCATCCAGCCTCCAAGATCTCCTGTGATTGCCAGGGGGAGGCTACCTCCCAGGCGCGGGCATGAAAGACTCAGCTCCAGCGTTATCCCGGGGTATACAGGTCTGTATGGAGGCCTGAACGCGTGTCCCCTTCCCATAGCGTGACCTGAACATAGACATCTTTCTCTCGCTAGGTTTTATACCACAGGCACAGTTCATTTTTGCCAAGAACTGCAACCAGGTTTGGGCTGAAGCGATGACTGGTTTTACACAAAGGTGCGGGCAGCAGGAGAGTCACGAACTGTCCAAGGAGGCCAAGGGAGGAGAGGTGGAGAGAGATGAGGGGCTGGAAGCAGAGGAGCTGACACAGGAGGAGCCGCAAGTGAGATGGGGAACGGCCAGCGGTGGCAGTGAGGCTGTGGAAACCGGGCTGGGAGTCTGCTCAGGCCTGGGCACCGTGGCAGCGTGGCTGTGGATACAGCCATGGGGCCTGGCTGCCAGCTGTCTCCTGGGAGGGTGCTTGAACTCAGTGCTATTTTCCTTTCATTAATGTCTCTCACAAGGTTTCCCCCTACTCCATGGATGACACAGATCCTCAGAAGTTTTTCATGTCAGGTAAGAGGATGTGGGTGATGGCCAAAGGCGTGTGGAGATAGATGCTCAGGATGTCCTGACTCAGCATCTTCCCCCACCCCAGGCTTCACCGGCTATGTACCCCGTGCCCGCTTCCTCTTTGGCTCCAGCTTCCCTGTGCTCACCAACCAGGCACTGCAGGAATTTGGGCAGACGTGCTCACGGGGCAGGGTGCAGAAGGATCCCAAACCTCTTTCCCCACTCCCCAGGTCCAACTTCCAGAACCTGGGTCTCCTCCCTCACTATGGAGGCTACGTGCCAGGTGAGACAGTCGGGGGCTTTGAGCTGGAATGTGTGCAGGTGGGACGTTCCAGGAACTGGGATAAACAGAAAGGATGTCAGATTCTGATCCAGCTTCAGAGAGGAAACCACGGCAGCTCAGAGGGAGTTGGGAGCAGATTTCAGAGGGTGGTTTGGAGAGCATGCAACTGGCCAGGAGTTAAAAGGATTTTTCATGCCTCTGGCTACACATGACAGACTCTTTTGGACACACAGGGTATAAGTTCCAGTTTGGCGGTACATTTGGGCATCTCACCCATGATGCTCTGGGCCTCAGCACCACTCAGAAACAGCTCCTGGCTTAAGTACCATGCTATCCCAGTGATCTTTTTGGAAGGAATAGAGGCGGGTAGGGGGAGGGGCACAAAGAAAATGGTTTGGAGGCTGAGCACCTTTTTATTAATAGGTGTAATAAATAAATAAATAAATAAATACATGAACAGAAGCCTGGGCTCCTCCTCCTACTCTGATGACCAGCCACTGGTCACTGCCTATTTACAGCATGGGGGCTTAGGACTCTGGCCCCAATACTGTTGTCCATCCTCATCGTCACTCAGTCTAGTGAACCCACAAATGACCTCTGGGCCATCTCCCCCCAGAGACTTGTCTACCCCCATGGACATATGGGCTAGGAAAAGTCTTGGCAGCCCAGCGCTGTGCCCGCCCCTCCTTCCCTGGGGGTCTGGGCAGCTGAGGAGGAATGCTGAATACTGAGCAGGGAGCAGGTGCCAGCCCAGGGATACTGGCTCCAGCTCTCAGTCTGCTTCTTGTAGCCAAGCCTAAGGGCTCTCGGGCTCCGAGTCTCGGGGAACAGGAGGGTCCCTGAGGCCACCAGCATGCACAGGGCCTCAGTTTTGGCTGCTTCCAGGTGGTGAACTTGGAGTTGGGGTCAGAGTCACATAGGCCAGAGGCACCAAGCCGGTGTCAGGGCCGCGGCTACAGCGCAGCCAGTCTCCTCCGGCTGGTCCCAGCACCCGCAGGATATCCCCTTTGTGGAAGCTGAGTTGTCCAGGGCCGGTGGCCAGATGGTGGCACAGCGCCTGCACCTCACTGGAGAAATGACAAAAGTGCCTCAGAGAGGCGTTCTGAGCCACCAGCCAAGCTCCCCATACTTTATCCCCCTGGCGGGTGGGCAGGCATACCATGGAGGCTTGGAGGGCAGGGCTGGAGAGTGTGGCTCTTGTAGGCTGTCCCTGGGCTCGGGCTCCCGACGGGCCCCCATTGTCTGTGCTACCAGCTGGAACACAGACCTGTCCAGGCTCAGCCAGTCTGAAGGCAGCCTAGGGGAGAGGAGACAGATTGGGTTCCGCCTGTGTCCAGATCTAGACCAGACTCGCCAGCCACATCCCCGGCTACACCAGTAGTGGCTCTCACCTGCTTGTGGGCCGGGCTTCCCGCTGAGCTTTCCGGGAACCAAAGAGATGTCCCCACTTGATGCCCCCAGGGGCAGGCTCTGCTGTCCTTTCTTCATTTTCTGTTGGTGGGGCAACAGGTCCCTCCCTCTCTCGACTACGCCTCAGCTCAGCTAGCACAGAGTCAGGGGGGCTCCCCATCCAGAAAGGCCAGCCCCTTTCTTGGCCAAGGGCCTCCTCAGGAGCAGGGCAGGCCTCAGCCCCCTCTACCACACCTTCCCTTGGTGGTGGAGCCTGGGAAGGCCGCCCACTGCCTACCCCTTTCTTTTTCTCACTGCTGCTACTGCGAGGGAATCTGGAGCCCTCCGCGGTGCCCTCGATGTAGACCTGGGAGCTCTGCATGAGCTGGTACCACCAGCCGGCCTGCCCTCCTCGGGCCCACCTGCCAGGCTCTGAGCTCCCCACAGCCCCTTCGCTGTCTTCCTCGTCCTCTTCTCCGCCTTCTGAGGCACCCACACCCTTCACCCGCTCCCCAGGGGCCGCCCTGTCCATGTCGCCAGGGCCCTCCTGGCCTCGGGCTCTGGCCAGCTGCAGTGTCGAGTGTGCAGACAGCAGCAGGTCCTGGGACACCCGCAGCAGTTCCTTGTGCTGCCGCTGCTGCCGCCCGCTCTGCAGCAGCCGGTGCTGGAAGAGCAGGTCCAGGCTGAAGGGCAGCAGGGCCAGCGGCTGCAGCAGCAGCAGCAGCTCCTCAAAGAGGCCAGGACACACGGTGTGAGCGGCACGCAGGAAGCCCCAGGGCTGGTAGTGGGTCTGGATGATGTCTAGAGCAACAGAGAGGGCAGGTTCACACCCGGAAGGGACACCGAGGGGCGGGCCACCTGTGCCAGCTGCCAGGCTGGCTCACTCCAGTTTACACAAAGCCTGCTACAGTGCGCACTGCATACATCCCCTCGCCTGAGGAGGCAGCCCCGAAGTCAGAGAGATGCTGGGGTTCATGGCCACCCTAGCTGCCAGACTGCCTAAGTCTGCTGCCGCCTCCAGGGTTCTAAGTCAAGAAGAAGCCCTAAATTCGGGGAATGAGAGTCTGGGTGGGTCTCCTCCCCACCTCCTACACTGAGTTGGGAAGCCAGGACAGGCCGTGGGCATTACCTTCATGGTTGTACAGGTGATTAAACCAGAACTCCAGGGACCGGATGCTGTAGAAAGATAGATGAAGGGTTAAGTCTCTCTTGGACACAGCCAGATAATGAGGTGTAAAGAGATGGGTGCAGGGATTAAAAACAGAGGACGCCTGTGGCCGGGTGGAAAGTCAGTGGGGATGTGAGGAGTAGGGTGAACATGAAGTCTCCAGCCAGTCATTTCTCGGAACAGAGGGAGCATACACAAGTCAGGGAGACTACTGAGTGTGAGAGCACAGGCTACTTTCGGCCAAAGGTAATGGCCAGGCTGACATGTAGCAAATACTACTGTGCCTAGGTGAGCCTAGGTCTGAAGCAGGACTCAGAAGCAGAGTTGGGGTTGGCAGGATCAGTTTGCAAGACCAGCTAGTTTCTAAACAGGCCAGGCCACGGCTTTGTGAACGTGGATGGGCTGGTTGGTGGGCAGTGGGTGCTGAGAGGCTGCAGCTAGGCGCGGGGAGGGGTCCCAAGGCCTCGCACAAACACTGCAGATGCACCTGTCTCACTCCAGACAACCGGGCCCCTAGAGGACACAGCTATGGAGAGGCTGGCTGCTTAGACCCTACCAGTCTACACACTTTCTACACACTTACTTGAGCAGGCCGAGGATGAAGGCGTTAAAGCGCATAGTGTGACTGGTGAGTTCTGGAAACTGGCTGACTTTGTTGTAGAGACCATGCAAGACCTTGGTGGATGGGCCTGGGAAGAAGACAGGGTTGGAGATGGCATTTATAATCTCTGGAACCCTGAATTCAATCTGGAGCCCAGTGTCACAATCGAGCACCTACCTAGCTGTGTGGAAGCCTCAACCACACTCCAAGGCATGTTTTTACGTTGTCCGATGATCACGTCTAGTACGAAGGCCTTGAGCCCATCCTCCAGCACAGCTTGGACTGCAGGGCAGAGGTACTTCAGCACCAGGTGGCCTACGTTGGGGCTCACAGAACTGTTTCCCAGCTTTGCCTGCAGATGCACAGGGCAGCTTGAGAGGCCTGGCCTTGCTCTCACTTAGCCAGCCCACGGGTTCCCCTTGGGCCATTTCCATCCCTGCGTTCCTACTCTGCAAGGGAAGGTGACGGACACAAACTGGGTGTGCAGCGTGTAGCTCAGCTGCTCACCGTTATAGCCTACCTTGACACCGGGATCCCGGCTTGTGCCAAAATGGGCCACAATGAGGTCCACAGCAGTATTGACAGCTTTTACCAGCCCTATGAGGAAGACGTGGATGTGACAGGTGCCGTTTTTGAGACTCTAGCCCACCCAACGGAGGCTGACCCCTGGTGGGGAAGAAGTTGTCACACTCACTCCTGCCCCTATCCACCCGTGTGTCATTGTCCTGGCACTCAGGGTGGCTGCTCTCCCCACAGGGCTCCCCTCTCTAAGCTTTGCATCTCTCTTGCTACAAGGAACCTGGACTTCTCCTTTGCCGGCTCCTGCCCCTTTGCCAACACTTATGTTTGGTTATTTTTACATCTCCCTAAGAGTCATCAGTCACTGGTCACTAATCTGCTGAACAATGCGTTCCTGCCAGTCCTTGTCTTCTCAGAGGTCACCAGCTACCCAAGGGGCTATAACTTCAGCACTTAGGGACTTATTTGCTTGTTTGGATTTTTTGAGATGGTTTTACTATGTTACCCTGGTTGGCCTGAAATTCACAGAAATCCACCTGCCACTGCCTCCCAAGTGATAGAATTAAAGTTGTCTGCCACCATGCCCAGTAAAGTGTTTGTTTTGTGAGACAGGGTGTCATTATGTAGCCCTGATTGTCCTGGAACTCACTTTGTAAACTAGGCTGGCCTTGAACCAAGAGATTCACCTCCCAACACACCAGGCTCCTGTAAATTTTTTAAAAATTACATAACAGTCTCTCTCATTGTATTTAATTGGCTGAGGGAAGAGGTTGATTCTTAAGTTCCTGATACATGACTGTTGCTCACTATACCACAGAATCTCCTGTCTCTTGCCCTAATGCTCATTCTCCTTATTGGTATTGGGGTTTCAAGACAGATGTTCCAGAGGGTTAGCCAGGCACCGGGCACAGCAGGCAGTGACAGTGAAACCCGGGTCCAGCTGGGTGTTGATACACACCTTTTTTCTGAAGGACATCAATGGAAATGGCCTCAGAGGTGCCATCTGGAGACAGACAAAACTCAGCTGGTGGCTTCTCAGCCAAGGAGAAGGGGTCCTGCAGGTCAGGGCAGGCCAGTGGTAATGGTTTTGCTACCTGGCCTGGAAAGAAAGAAGAAAAGTCTTACCCGGAAGCTCTTCCCGAGAGTTCTTAGCTCAGCGGAGTGCCCTCCACCCTCACACTAACCGACCCCTTCCCAGCTTGCCCAGGGCACCAGGGGCACTGGCCACACACCATTCAGCCGGCAATTCAGATGGCTGGCAGTGCCCAAAGAACCGGAGAACTCAAAGATGGGGTTCCTGCGGGCCAGCCGAGCTTCCTGTGGTCTTCGATCTAGGCTTCCTGACAAAGCAGGTGGCCCTAATGGATTCTTCCTCCTGTATTCCCGCCACTTGAGGGCTTGAGGGGACAGGTGGTTGGCTGGGGGCAGAACAGGTGAGGAGTTAGGAGACAGCATGCCACATCTACCCAGGGTCCACGTAAAATGCTAGGGTTGGGAATATGTAGCAAATAGACCAGATGCTGTGGGTGTGGCCCCGCTGAAAGCGTACGAAACCATTAAAGGAGAGGTAGGATTGCTTGGGCTATGGATGAAGCTCATACCATTGTTGGGCCTGGAGGCCATGCTGCCCTCACCGCCTCCTCGGGCCAGGCTCTCTGCCCGGGAAAAGCCAGATCTCCAGGAGCCCAGAGGCGGCAAGCTTCCTGTGCCATGAAGCCGGTACTCAGCCAAGGTTGGAATCTTCTGATCCTCCTTCAATGGCTGCTGGGAGGTGGCAGGCCGCACAGTAGGACACGTGTGGCTCCATGTGGGGAGACTTTGTGCCGCTGTGGCCTGCTCTGGAGGAGGGGAGCAGGAGGCAGAGGCAGACGAGTCAGTGCTGGGCCCAAAGGGGCCGGCAATCCGGACAGGGGAGTAGCTTCCCAGGGGTGACGGCCTTGAGGTCTCCGGCTCAGGCCCAGCTTTCCTGGCACCCCTGCCAGTGGTGTGGGGTGCGGGTGCCTGCGGCTCTCCTGGGGGAGCTGGGGCAGCGGGGACGGCCAGTGCGGCAGGCTGCTGTGCGCGGCTGCAGCCTGCGAGGCTGTAGATCTGGGAAAGGCTGTGGAGGGCTCGGGCCTTGGCCAGCTGCTTGGGGAAGTGGTGCTGGAACACGAAGGGCTGGATGGGCAGCGTGGTCGGCCTCTGCTCCTTGCTGTAGCGAAGCACTGGGCGGCTCTCAGTGCCGCCCCCTGCAGCAACAGGACGGAGAAGGACTGAGACACAGACCCTGGAACTCACACGGGGAAACCGCAGCAGAGCTAGGAGATGACACCAGCGGCAAAGATGGGCAAGCCTGGGCTATAGGACCCGAATAGGGGCGGGCACGACCCATTTGTGGAGGGGGACACTGCCCCTCCTTGTAAAGTCTTCCCCGTGTGTCATGGTCTGGACTGTCTCCTGTCGCTCCACTTTCTCAACTCCAAAAGTGTTAAGGTGTGTTAGAAGGCTCAGTCCTCACCTCACTGAACACTTTCTCTTTTGCAAAGGTAGCTGGATTTTAGACTTTCACACAGATGACTCCCAAGCCCCAGCATTAAGCTTACTTTCTCCTTGAACTTAGATCATCTTGCCATGGGCTTTGCTTTCATTTTAAACAAAAACAGCCTTGCTAGAAAGACTATTCCAAAACCATGTCTGGGAGATGCTCAGACTCTACCGCCATCATCTGTCAGCTTTGCCTGATGTTCCTGGTGCCACCATTGCTGTCAATGGTAGAGTCATTTGCAGGCTTTGAGAGACTCAGTGTTAGGATGCTGCTGACTCCACACTCTCACCCACCCATCACCCTGTCTCCGAGGCTCACACACTCTGTTTTTGAGCAAACACAGCAGCAAGGTACTTATTTACTTGCAACTGAACCAACCTTCCTCTTATCACTATGTGCCCATGCTCCTGTTTCTCCATGATCCCAGAAGAACTTCAGTATCCACATCTACTCTTCCTGCACATGAATGTATTTCCCAGCTCCGGGGCCTATTCCAGGCAGTTCTCAGGTCTCAGAACTAACCTGAGGTCCAGAGCAACGCAGGGTGCCACAGCTTTGTAAATGGACTGCTCTCCTAATCACTCTGCCCATGCTGCACATATCTGAATGAACACAAGGTGGCGCCATAACACTTACAGGACCTAAAACCCTGGGCGTGGCTCAACAACAAGAGGCAGGAATTCACTTCTAGCTTATTTTTGTTTTTTAAGACAGGATTTCATGTAGTCCAGGCTGATTTTGATCTTGCTTTGTAGCCAATATTGGCTTGGATTCCTGATTCCCCTACCTTAACCTCCAAGTGTTGGTATTACAGGTATGAGCCACCCTGCCACAGGAAATTTTAAAATTAGAGACTAATGTCATTGTCTCAGGTTAAGATCATTCAACTAGGAAATAGCAGAGTCAGAATTTTGTCCATGCCTGAGTTTGGCTTTTGGGGACAGTGTGCTCCAGCACGCCACACCACGCCACGCATGCACTGACGTCAGGCTGGTTTGCCATGGAATGGTTCCTATTTACATCAGTGAGCCGTGAGGGATGCGTGGAGGACACTGTCATTCTCCTAGTCACACCTCATCCAGTCCTTCATCTGACCACACTCGTGACCACCCTGCTGTCCCTTCTGAGCTCTCATCACCACACTTCCTGGTCATACCCCGTTTCACTTCCTTTGTAAAGTGTTGGGAAGCATTTTTCTTAATGTGTTTGCTGTCTGTTACTTTTCACAGGAGCTCCAGAAAAATAGGGGCCAAACCCTACTGGTTGCTGTGCCTCTAGGGCCCAGGAAAGGAACAGTTAAATGCATACATCTCTACTTCTGATTCAGGCCAGTATCCTCGATCTCAAATCACCGTCTTATATAAACCTAGTTTATTGAAGAATAAGTTTACCTGTCTTCTGTGGTTAGTGCTCAAAGAACAACGACCCTGCTCTCAGGCTGTACTCTCCCCGCATTCTCACACTAGCCCTTCTCCCTGGCTCCCTTCTCTGCCCTACTAGGGATGGAGTCCAGTCCCTGCTGTACCCGGCAAGGGCTGTATTGAGCCCATTCCCACCCCCTCCCCTCTACCCCAGTTTTGAGCACATGGCTTCCCCATTAGGTATGTCTTCCTTCCACTCAATCACATTTAGGCGGAACTGGGTCTTCTCAGCCATAGATTTATTACACTACAACGCATGTCTGCATCATCTATTCAGTCCTACTCTTTAAGAAAATATGTCCTCTGCTGCATGTGCCTATCATCCCCAGCACTTGGGAGTCAGAGGCAGGGCAATCTCAAATTTGAAGCTAGCCTGGGCTACATGGGGAGATCCTGCTCCCAAAAAAACCCTTCCCTGCTATTCCCAATATATGGTATGAGGCAGAAGAATAAGATTAATTTAGAAGGGAGACCACCTTGAGGAATGGGTGTTAATTAGTCACCCCCCCCAACTCCCAAAACAAGTTTTCTCACTTTCCTATGAGAAGGTCGTTAAGAAATTTCTAGGTAGAGATCCCACAACATGCTGTGTGTCTGGGTGAAGTAGCCTGAGTTCTGTAGTTCCTTCTTTTTTTTTTTTTTTTTTTTTTTTTTTGGTTTTTTCGAGACAGGGTTTCTCTGTATTGTTTCGGAGGCTATCGGTCCAGCCCGGCCTCGAACTCACAGAGATCCGCCTGCCTATGCCTCCCGAGTGCTGGGATTAAAGGCGTGCGCTACCACCGCCCGGCTGTAGTTCCTTCTTAAAGGGTAGTAGCATCCAGTGAGTGCTCGCTGTTTCAGCGGAGGGACAGGGACTGTCTCTACTTGCACGCCTGTCACTGACCTTCACGCAGGTCTCTAAAGTCGCTGCTGACTCACCAGACTGCAATCCGTGTTAAAATCAATTCAAGGAGACTTTACAAATCAAATCCCACTTTGGCCTCTGCGTTAGTAGTTTTGTTCTATCAGGATTTGATGAGCTCCTTTCACTAAATGTGGACCTGTGGTTCAGCTTTTTCCTGTCATTCCCAAACTGGTCTTTCCTGGCCATCCACAATGCAAAGAACTGTCTACTCATGTACTGACTTTCAAAAGGGTGTGTACAACCAAGAGACAAGACCCGTGATTCTCCCTGGAGACTTATGCACTAGCGCACGACCTTGATATAAAAGTCCTCCTGGGGACTGGGGAAGAAGCTCTGCTGGGAGCAGAAAGTCCTGGTCAGTCCTGATGCGGAAGAAACAGAGGTTCATTTCTATGATCCTGGCAGAGGCCAAGGTTGTCCTTGGCTACATAGTTTGAGGCCAACCTGGGATGCACAAGACCCTGCCTCAAAACAGTCACAAAAATATTTCAAACCTTATTTTGCATGTGTATATAGGAGGAAGCATGTGGGCAACTTTTCCCTTCCGCCATGTGGACTTCAGGACCAAACAGCCTGTTGGCAGATGCCTTTCCCAGCTGGACCATCTCACTGGTCTAATAAAAATACAGCAAAAGCACTTTAATGCCCCTCTCCTTGTCTTTCCCTCTCTCTTTCCATTTTTCTTGTTTGTGTGCTGTGTATGTGTGTGTACACGTCTGCATGTGTATGAGTACATGTGGAGGCCTCAAGCTGATACTGGGAATCACCCTTGATCACTCATCTGCCTTATTCATTGAGGCAGGATGACTCAATCAAACCCAGACCTAATGGCTTTCGACAGTCAGCTTGTTCTGGGTGTCTCTCTCTGCTGTCCGAGGCTGGAATTACAGGCGGGCTGCCACACCTATCAGGCACTTGTAGCATCTGCAGGTTTTGAGGGTGGGGACTATGATACCTGGCAAGAGCTTCAATGACTGTGTCACTGTGGAGACCCCCTTTAGGCCTTTTGAGACAATGTAGCCCTGGCTGGCCTGGAACTCACTGTGTATGTAGACCAAGCTGGCACAAGATCCATCAGCCTCTGCCACAGGAGTGCTGGGATTAAAGGTGTGTGTCACGTGCCTGGCTAAACTGCCGATTTAAATGATCATTGTATGTGTGTGTGCCAGTGTGGGAGGCAGAGGACAACGCTGTGGAGTTGGCTCTTTCCTTCCATGGTTGTCTGAATTCCAGGACTGAACACGGGCAGTCAGTCCATCTCACTGGCCCAATCTTGAACCTCTGACTCTCCAGCCTTCATTTCCTAAATGCTAGGATTATGGGATGTGCCCCATCAAACCCAGAGCAAGGGCTGCTCTGCTCAGTGCTTAAATAACAGAAAGGTCAGGCCTTACTGTGTTTACTTTGTGATTCCACACATTCTTCCTGGATGATCAGTTTTAACTATCTCCCTCCCCTACCCCCAGGGTCTCACTGTATTGCCCTGGCTGGGTTACCACTAAGTACGGTTTACTTAGAACTCACAGAGATCCTCTATCACTCAAACCAGTAACTTTTTAATCTACGACAGTCTCTCACTTCACATCTTCCACCCAAACCACCAAGGATCTTTCTAAAAAGGTAAATCAAAATTTGCTGTTAAGCAAAAGGAAAACCAAACCAAACGATAACAACAATGTAGCCATTCTCCTGATGAAAGCCTTCTTCAGTGGCTCATCCCCATCCCAGCAGCTACGCTAAATTAGTCTACTGCAGTTCCTGGAAAGCATCAGGTGCTGACTCTTGTGTGAGCCTAGAATGTTCTTTTAAGGGTCTACAAACTTAACCCTCACCTTTCTTCCAGACTGAGCTTACATGTGAACTGTTCAGTCCTCCCCTGACACGCCAGTCTAATTGTGCTATTCTTTTGGGGACTCAAACCCCACACTGCCACCTTTGCATCTGAGTGACTGCTTTTTGTCTCTGTCCTTTGTTGGAATCCCTCGAGGACCGATTATTTCACTAGCACCACCCTGGTACAGACCTGGGTATAAAAAAAGTTGGAAGTTGGGCATTGGTGGCCCACGCCTTTAATCCCAGCACGCAGGAGGCAGAGGCAGGTAGATCTCTGTGAGTTCGGGCCAGCCTGGTCTACAGAGCGAGTTCCAGGACAGGCTCCAAAGCCTGTCTTGAAAAACCAGAAAAACAAAACAAAACAACCCCCCCCCCAAAGCAAACCTACTTGGAGTGAAATAAATAATGAGGACTTTAGGGAGCTGAAAGGTCAGGGCAAGGCGCAGTTCTGAGGTTTTTGTTTTGTTTTCTTCTTAGGGGGGGTGTCTCACTTTGTTGCCCAGGCTAGCTGGCCTCAGCCCCCAGAGGCACAGGCCCCGTTAGGCCCTTAAGTACAAGATTACCAACAATGATCAAAGAACAAGCTTCACTGCGGCCCCTGTGGTCTCCCCATTGGATATGTTCTTGAGTTGCCTCGAGCACTGTAAATCTCTGCATGTCTACAACTGACCGAATGCCTTGTCTCCTTCAGTGACTCCTCGGTTTAAGGGCCTATACTTCCGGCTTCAGGGTTTCCCAGGACACCAGTGTCCAAGTCCTAATGACCTATCTATTTGGTACACTCTCCTCCCTGCCCCCCCCCGGGGAGAGGTCCAGGGAGCAAATGCATAGCCTGGTACTCTCTGAGTTCCTTACCGTCAGCTCTAGCTCGCGCATCCCTCTGGGTATGGCTGTTGGCTGGGCTCCCTGGGAGAGCAGGCCCGGCATCCATCAGCTGGGCCAAGGGGCCCTGCCCAGCAGCTCTGAGGCTAGGAAGTGGCATCTCGCTGGACTGGGAGCCCTGACAAAGCTGGGTGGACCAGGGTTCTGGGCCAAGGAGGTCCAGGCTTGGCCCCAAGGGCATGGACGGCAGACTATGGCTACACCGAGTGCCCTCGTCAAGTGGGCCTGCCCTATCTTGCTGGGCTTCCAGGATGGGTGAGAACTCCTGGGAAGAGTCTCCAACGCTCACCCGAAGTGGTGGGGAGCCAGAGCCTGCTGCAGCTTTCTTCCGGCCTTTGGCCAACTCAGCGAAAGAGGTGACCCTCTTGGGTGGGGAAGCAGACCCAACTAAGGCTGCGGGGCCCTCACTTAAGCGTACTGGGCAACTCAGCATTCGCTCCAGCGAGCCCAGGCGGACAGGGGGGCTGCGCTCCAGGCTTCGGTCATAGCTTCGAGAGCGCTGTCGGCCGGTGCTTAGGTTGGGGGGTGAAGTATTTGTGTACACTTGCCCTTCGAGTACAGCGGGGCCTGTGGCAGTTGCTGCTTCTGTTGGGGAACTCCCTGCTTCTTGTTCCTCTGGCTGGGAGTCTGGCTTCTGGAAGAGGTAATACTCAGAGGGCTGACTGGGGTCTGGGTCTGAGCCGGGGCCTGGTGGAGGACTTATCTTGGTGTGTTCTTCAGAGCAACTGGTGATGGAGGAGCCAGCTGGGCTTGGGGAGGACTGGGACGATAGGTCACAGGTGACAAGTTTATAGTAATTTTGGGTGGCCACCACAAGGCGGGCCTGGCTCTGGAAGCAGGCTGTGAGGTCAGCCACAGCCGGGCAGGGCTCACAGTGCGGGCGGTAGGAGTTGCAGTTGGCATCCACCTCAGGAGACGAGGCATGAGGACAACCGCAGCCCTCCTCCCTGTCCCCGTTTTCAGGGTGGTGGGACTCACAAGACATTTTCGACTCCGCTGGGGAGGGCTGCAGGTCCAGGTAAAAGGCTCCGGGGTCTGAGTGGCTGCAGAAGGAAGACTCACTGCAGGACTGAGGGACAGAGTTGAGGTTGGCACGGGAGCTTCCATGCATCTTACTGTAGAGGGTGCTGAACGTGACCAGCACGCCATCTGAGCTGTTGCAGGAGGAGTCGCTGACGTAGCCCATGGACTGGTCAGCGGCCTCGGACTGACTGGATGTGCTACTGCAGCGGCAATGCTGGGCTCCCGAGCCTGGGCGTCCAGGGCTTCTTGGGGACTCATCTGAACTCAGCTTCCACTCTTGGTGAAAGGGGAAGGCAGAGGGGTCACTGGCTCCACCGCCACTGCCACCAGGTCCCCCACACTCATCTAGCTCCATGGTCTCAGAGTCCAGCTCCGGTCGGCAGCAGTGGCCGGCGCTGCCCTGCTGGGCACCCAAGGTTATCGCCGGCTGCTGCTCCTGCCCCTCCACCACTGCGGGCCGACCACGCGCTGCTCCCCATGGCAGGTGGAAGGTGGGCTGGGTGCCGCTGTGCAGGTGGAAGGACTGCTGGGTGGCACTGTCAACAGTGCTGCCATCATACAGGCCACAGAGTCCTGTCTCGCCCACATTTCCCTGCACCAGGAAGGGGTTGTGTCGTTTGGGAGCTCCAGGGCCTCTGCCATCCCGACTCCTGCTCTTGATGCTGTCTGCAGACCGTGTAGATGCCCCCGGAGCAGAGTGCACACTGTTGCACAGCAGGGAGTCAGCTTGTCCCGGGTCCTGGTCAGCCTGAGTAAGGCCCAGCTCGGCCGTGCAGAAGGGGCTGGGTCTCGGGCCCCCACTACCTCCACTCGCCCCCCCACAGCGCTGCCTGTCTGGGACCTGGCAGTGCACTAAGGGGATATGGTGGACGATGAGGGTCTCTCCAGTCAGCTTAGGGGGGCTATCCATTTTGGAAAGTTCGAACAAGGGCATCAACAGCGCCAGACACTGCCTTTGGAGCCCAGTGGGGCAGAACACATTTCATCAGGAGAGCTTGGCACCTGGAGAAAGGAAAAGAAAGGGAACCTAATGTCACCTCCCTGGAAATCAGGGATAGGCCCTTCCCCAAACTGTTTCCAGATGGACAAGAGCCAGAGGACTAAAGGCTCTGGGTCAATATGGAGTTCTGACAGCACAGGTCCGACAACATGGAGGCTGCTACACTTTCCGCCTTGCACAGGTCCAGGTCCTGGGCCCTGTTCATTTTACCGTTACCATGTATCCAACAGCAACAGAAGGCCAGGACTCTTTTAATACTACATATGAAGTATGGGGGACTCAGGGACAACATGTTCCTCCCTCTCTTAAAAACAATTACATTTATTTAGACAGAGTGTGTGGTTGTGTGTATGTGCGTGCCACAGCATCTGTATGGAGTTAGGAGGCCAGTCTGTGGGACTCTGTTCTCCCTCCACTGTGTGAGTCCCAGGGAGAGAAGGCCATAAAGTCTGGTGGCATGTGTGTCTTTACCTGCTGAGGTACCTCTCAGGCTTCCCATTCTCTTCTATGCGGTAAATAATGACTAGTCACACACACACACACACACACACACACAGTCAGACACACATACATACACAGACATACAGGCACACACACAGATATACACACACATGCACACTCACAGACAAATACAGATATATATGGACAGACACACACACAAACATGCACACACACATACACATACATACATAGACATAGATATGCAAACACAGCCACACACATGAACGCAGACATGCACACACAGACACAGACATGCACACAGACATACATATATATATACATATACATGTGCAAACATGCCCACAAACATGCAGACACACATAGACAGACAGACAGACAGACAGACAGACAGACAGACAGACAGACACACACACACACACACACACACACACACACACAGTGAAACAGTGACGTAACTAAGAAAACCCACATAAGATGTCTGGAGAGTACAAGGCACTGAGGGGAAGGCCAGTAATGCCTGCACAGCTACAGCACACAAATTTACAGATGCGGAGAAAAACTGGACATACATCATATGCTCACAGAAATCAGCTGTAACTGTAAGATTGTATTTTAAAATACACTGAGTCAGCTGACCAAGGACTGCTGCACTGGCCTTTTCTTTTTCTCCCCTGTGAATCCTAGAATGCTTACCCCTCTGACCACTGTGGGCTACACAGCCTTCCTATTTACTACTGCAATGGAGCTTCATAAACACAGGTGGAGGGACAGTAGGTGACTGCAAGTATGGCTGATGCCAATCTCTCCCTCCTACATGGGGTGGTGGCCACTTTACAAACATGGGGCCCAAGACCATCCTGATGCTTCAGACTAGCGTTTAGAACCTTTAGACCCAACTGGCTTTGCTTTAGCCTAGAACCTTCACTATTGGGATTCCTGGAAAGTCTCCTTTATCCAGGCTTTACCTCTGAGAAGCTAAAGTTGTCTCCTGGCCACCCTGTGGAGGGAATGGCCTCTCTCAAACGCAGTTTCCTGAGCTGTCTCTGACTCTCCATGTCGAATCTATTCTCATCTATTAGTCTCCTCTCTCCTTCTGGTCCTGTTTTCCCCTTTACCTCTTCTGGATCTAAATCCCTCATTTACTGTCTCATACCTAATCGTTTAACTGAACCCTTCATACCACTGCTTTCTTAAATTTTAGCTCTTCATTAGTAAAGGCCAGCAAGCCACATGTGCTTAAGGAATGAGTTAAAGGAACATGCGAATGACCGATAACTATGTGCATGAGGGACAATTATAGAACGTTACAATTAAACATGATTACATATTACAATTATGTATGTTGAATCACATTAAAATTAAGACTTCTGAGAGGAAGTCTCCTTTATTGGATTTGTAAGCCCTATATGTTGAGTACAGTCATCAGCATAGTTGTGGAAAAGCAAAAACTAGAGAAGTTAATCTAAGTTAAAAGATTAAGAGTTATAGAAAGCTGGGCGGTGGTGGCGCACGCCTTTAATCCCAGCACTCGGGAGGCAGAGGCAGGAGGATCTCTGTGAGTTCGAGGCCAGCCTGGTCTACAAAGCGAGTTACAGGACAGGATCCAAAACAATACAGAGAAAAAAACCAAAAAAAAAAAAAAAAAGAGAGTTATAGAAAAATAAGAATAAAAAACCTCCACTGTGGAGTGCTAGGATTACAAGCATTCACTACCACACCCAGTTGATATGGTTCTAAGGACTTAACTCAGGTCTTCCTGTATGCTAAGTGAGCACGCCCACCTGAGCTGTATCCTCAAGAGGAAACCGTGGTAAACCAAACCCAATGGTGATGGTTTCTTACCAAATTAGATATCTCCATGCTTCACAGGGCACCAGCCAGACTAGCCCACAACACTGAGAGCCCCACCTCAAAAACAAGGGCCTGAGGAAAGGAAAGGTCCCCGAAGCTGACTTCTGGCCTACATAAATTCACTCACTTACACAGACACACAAAGAAAGAGCCAAACCATAGTATGGGAGAAACTATTTTTAAATCATACTTCTGACGGTGGCTTCTAATCAAAATACACAAAGAACTCTTAATTTTTTTTTTAGACAGGGTCTCACTATGTATCTCTGGCTAGTCTTGGACTCACTATGTGGACCAGGCTGTCTTTGAACTCACAGAGATCTACCTGCCTTTGCCTACAGAGAACTGGAATTAAGTGTGTGCTACCATGCCCAGCACTGAATAGATACTTCTCTAAGGAAGACATATGCATAGTTAGCAAGATGAAGATGGGCAACATCTAATTAGCCATTAAGAAAATAAGAAACCCAATGAGACACCAATGTACTCTCAACAGGATGCTGAAACCAAAATACAAAGGCAACAGCATTGATTATACATGGAGAAATGAGAACCCTTTGCTGAGGGCATTGTAAAATAGTGCAGGTCCTTGAGAAAGTTGTCACACAGTCCCTTAAACGTTAAACACAGACTTGCTCACAAGACCCAGCAATCCCACTCAAAGGGAAAGGAGCACTCATTCACACATAAGCTAGTATGAACATGCTTACAGCAGCATCACAACGGACGAGTAAAATGTACTATAGCTCCCATCGTTATATATGAGCTGAAAATGAGTAGAAACGTGGCATACACAGACAATGGACTATTATTCGGCAATAAAAGGAGTGAAGCGTACTAGTGTTTCACACACATGCTACAACATGAATGACCCTTAAAGAGGCAGTATTTAGAAAAAGAAGCTGCCACAAAATACTCCTTTACATGGTGAATAATTTTCATGAAATGCCTAAAACAGGAAAATCAACTGAATAGAAGGTAGGTTAGTAATTTGTAAGGGCTGGCGAATGGGGAAAAACTACTTAATGGCTGAGGAGGATCTTTGTGGGGTAATAAAAATATTTTGCTATCAGTCATTGGTAATGGTTACACATTATATACTGGTGAATATACTGATTTGGTGGCTTGAAAAAAATGACCCCCAAAAGGAGTGGCACTGTTAGGAAGTCTCCTTTTTTGTAGTAGGTGTGGTCTTTTGGGAGGAAGTGTGTCACTGTGGAGGCAGGCTTTGAGGTCAGGTATGCTCAAGCCACACCTAGTGTCTCAGCTCACTTCTTGTTGCCTGCATCTGTCTATCTGCCTACCTACCTATAATCTATCTATCATCAATCTATCTACCTACCTATCATCTATCTGTCTGTCTGTCTGTCTATCTGCCTACCCACCTATCATCTATCTATGTAACTATGTATGTATGTATGTATGTATGTATGTATGTATCTATCTATCTATCTATCTAGAACTCTTAGCTACCTCTCCATTATCATGTCTGTCTGCATGCTGCCATGTCCCACCATGATAATGGACTGAACCTCTGAAACTGTAAGTCACCCAATTAAATACTGTCCTTTATAAGAGTTGCTGTGGTCATGGTGTCTCTTCACAGCAATGGACACCCCAACTAAGACAAATGGTATATGAATTGTACCTCAATAAGGGTATTCCAGGCTAGCCAAGACTACATTGTGAGAACTTTTCTCAAAGAAAGAAACAAACAAGAGACAGAAAAGGTTATGGTTCATGGGAAGAGGAGTGAGGAAGAAAGATGAAATAGCAGAGGGGCTGGGGAGGGTGGAGGACTAGGAGGCTGGGGGGTTGGGTATTTGCAGAAATAGGTGAGAACAAGGCAGGGAATGGGGAACAACTGCTTTGTGGCATTTTGGGGAGCAATGAAGTTTTTTTTTAAGTCTTATGAGACAGGGTTACTCTATATGGCCCTGGCTATTCTGGAATCCACTCTGTGGACCAGGCTGGCCTTGAACTCACAGAGATCTGCCTGCCTCTGCCTCCCGAGTGCTGGGATTAAAGGCGTGCACCATCATTGCCCAGTTAGGGTGCTTTGATATAAGAGACATGACACAGTTTTTCCTTCTTCCTCTTTTCCTCTTCTTCCACCCCTCTCTCTATATATACATATATATTTATATATACACACACATATACACACATTCACACACACACATATATATATATATATATATATATGCACACACTCACCCAAGTGTAACGTAGCTCAGGCTGGCCCTGCCTCTGCCTCCTCAGTACTGAGATTAGAGGTGCATGTTAACATGCCCAAATAATCATGCCCATTTAACACATGAGAAAACTGAGGCATCGGGGCCTAAGTAGTTTAGTCAAAATTACATAGTTTAAATGGATTCAAACCCTGGCACACCCAATTCTCAAGGATGTATACAACTCATTCTCAAGATGCTTGAGGTCACACCCTCTTCCTAAAGTCCTCTCATTTACCCACATCTGCTTCCTGCCTTTCCGGGACAGGAACTTTGGTGTCCATGTATGTAGGGTATGGTGTATCAGCTACTCTGAACCCACAGCCCCTTCCACATCGACACCGCCAAGTTCTCAACCCTGTCGCCTGCCCTCCACATCAGTTCCCAGGCTACCTCATCCTGCCCTGTCCGTTGTTCCGACAGCGTTCTACCCTGGCTCTGCTGCTCCCATTCAA